TCAGCGTGTGTATCGGAAACGCTAAATCGGAATGGGCATCCGTTCACAGTGGCGTTCCGCAGGGAAGAGTTCTGTGTCCAATTCTGTTCCTTATATATGTGAACGACTGCCTGGACTGTCTGAACTGCGAGCGAGTTATGTTTGCCGACGATCTCAAATTGTGGCAATCAATAGAGAAGCCGGAAGATGCTGTACAATTACAAGACAATTTGAATCGCTTGCAAAAATGGTGTGATGAGTGGTGTCTAAGCCTCAATCGTAACAATTGCCAACTTATCCGATTACGTTCGAGCAACAGGAGGTCGTTGAGATTTGAATCTCAGTACTTTATAGGAGGTCACCAACTCGAATCAGTCAACGAATTAAGAGACCTCGGGGTGTGGATGACGTCAAATCTCAAACCATCGTCTCACTGCGCCAAGGTAGCAAAGAGAGCTATGGGTATCCTAGGCGCGATTAAAAGATCCTTCGTCAATTTTGATGAAGAACTTTTCGGCCGAGTATTTGGCGCATACGTTCGACCAGTGTTGAAATACTGTGTCCAGGCATGGTGTTCCTGGACGAAAAAAGATTACACCCTACTGGAGAACGTACAACGTAGAGCGACCAGGCTAGTCGGCGGATTGTGTGGCTTACCTTATGAGAGACGGTTGAAGTTAAAAATATTTCCTCTCTCTTATAGACAGTACAGAGGGGATAGGATCATGGCCTTCAGGATCGTCCAAGGGCTAGACTGTGCTCTTCAGTTTGACGATTCCTTTGAACTGGCGCGGACGACAAATCTCCAAGGGCAACAATACAAATTGAAGACGAAATATGCCAAACTCGAACTGCGGACCAAATTCTTCTCTCACCGGCTGGTTGAGGGATGGAACAAATTGCCGAACTCCGTTGTCTTAGCGGAAAACGTCGAGACTTTTAAAAGAAGACTAGATAAACTTATGCTTGATGTTCAAACATTTACATGATATCAATGACTGACATAAATGCTATGTAAATATCTGCATGTTCTTTCATACATCTATCTGTCATTAGGGTTTTCCAAGGCTCTGCCTCTATCCCTCATATATGCTGAATTATACTGAATAAGTGAAGTCCTCTCTGCTCACAGTCTCCATAAAACAAATATGCCTAACTACTTCTGAACTCTTAAGACATCTTCAGTCAGACTGAATGACTGCAATGAGAATAATGGTCTTAGGATTTCTGGTTTTGCACAAGTCAGTGTAAATTCTTATCAGCTGGAATAAGTCGAGGACGATTAGGCGTGCGCCTTTGAAATCTCCACTTCGTTTGACACAAGTGTTAAGAACTCTGCTGTCTCGGTGGGACTATAACCTGCGACAGCAAGGACAGGGCCTGGGTACAGCCAAAGTTACAACCACGCGAACGACGAGATTTCCACCGGGAGGCATGAGTTTACATACATTCAGGTTAAACGGCATGCCAAACTTACAGAATCACATGGGATCCCCCAATTCTGACACAACAAGCTGGCCATACAATCAGGATGTCCTCAGTGAAAAATCAAGAAGCCATCCGAATGCCATCAGACTAACTAGAAAATTCGAATAGAATTGCACAATATTATCTAGAACAATAATTCTGAAAAAGAAGGAGTGTTAATACCTGTGCCTCAAGTAAAGCCCATTCAAATACAAGCCTATTTATTCAGAATTATCGATTGCCATTACCCTTTTGAGATTTGGTGGACAATGCCTGCTAATTGAAATTCCTATCTTGCAAATCGTATTTCGTGCATTCCAATGGACTGCAAAGATGAAAAATTATACGCAGCAAAACTCTCGTTGAAATTCGTTCATCAACTCTGTCAGAAGATTTAAATAGAAAAATAAATAATATGCACTATACACCATTCGGGATCACGCCTTAGCAAGTAAAAATAAATTTTAATATGAATGCTAAAAGAGGAAGACAAAATGTGTGCAGAATACAGTTCATACTTACTGAATAGGTAGTCCGACAAGAAAATTGATTAGAAAGCGGTGAAAAAATCTCCTTTATCGAATAACCGAAATGAGTGTGGTTGGAGGTTGGATCAAGTCTAGAAAAAGATTTGTCGGTCATAAAAGGATAAGAATTCGGACAGGACCGGCCTGGATGTGGCAATGCATGACGGATTCGAAACGGACATCGTCAGAGCAAAATAACTGTCGCTCAGGAAGGGGTAAATATGCGCGTCACACAGGACTGGTCTGCA